AAAATGCCTGATAAAATAAGGTAGTATTTTTAATATATAGAAATAACAAATTTTAAATACATGTACTTTATCTCTTAATGATGCTATTCTAAGAACATTTTAAATTAGCATTATGTATCAAAATTTTGATAACCTTTGATATAATAATCATAATATCTTGAGATTTAAAATATTAAGTAATGTATTATTTGAACAATATTTCAATATTGTATAATAATAGAACTTAAAAATTGTTAAAGGAGTAAAAGCACATATAAGTAACTGAATAATTCATACACTGCTATGCCATTAAAATTATATCTGTATTATGCAATGAGTTAAAAACATTCTTATTCAAGGAATGTAAATTAGTAACCATGTTATTCAAAAGCTAATAATTTATAAAGATTTAACATGTATTTTGACAGGTCTAGACACTTAAAATGAAGCAAAATAAAATAAAATGAAACCACAAACTCAATGATTTCTTGAAATAAAGATTTATTTTAGCCTTAGCATCACAACATTTTACAGCCTGAAACTAAATTACGTATCTGATTAGATTAATCACTTCCTAAATGCAGGTTCAAAATTCACCTTACTGGCCTGTTTGTGATTATGGATTAATTTGCTCGTGCTATTTACATATTCCGACTCCAAACAGAAATGAAGTCAATGTTTTACCTGTCAAATTATCTAAGCATTTTATACAAATTGTTGAAAGTTTTAATTTTAAATTCTGATTATTATTGGAGCATTTTATAAAATGAAATTATACTTTCTGGTTCAACTTTGAGATTAATGAAAAGATTAATAAAAGAAAGATTAATGAAAATTCTTAGGAGTACTAAAAATACCAAGATGTTTTCATATAATGACAGTGTATATAGTCTGTCCAGAACTTCCTGTGTTTGCAAGCCTGAGTTTATTTTAAAGAATATAGTCTGCTTACTCAGAAATCATTATCTGACATCCCAAATCCACTGTTTCTAAATAGACAGTCCAATTACCAAAGAAAGATTTCCAGATATTCCATCAAGGGTAAGCATAAACATGATCTGAGTCAGTTTGCAGAAAGGAATCTTTGAGGTAATTGCCTTTGTATTTACTAATTTTCCATTTCACTAGAAATGGCCACTTTGCTGTTTCCAAAGGCCATTTCCTCAAGTATCTGTGTAACTCATCAACACACACAGTCCCGTTGCTGCTGATGGGCTGTCCCTCCTGTTCCTCGCTGAGAAGAATCCACATTCCATGACAGCTGCAGTGGTCTGGGTCCAGAACCCAAATAGAGAATCACATTGGGCAATCAGCTTTCTATTTGGTTCAGCTGTTGAAATGGATTCTCCTCTCTCTGTTTCTGTCTCTATCCTTCTGTTTCTCCTCTCTGTCTCTCTCCTTCTTTCCCCTCCTGACTCACTCTTCCTGCTCTCTTTTATCCCTCCTCCTCCTCTACCCTGTCTTCGTCTTTGGACACTTGTTGAAATTGCAAGTTTTCATTACCCAAAGTGCACAAGCACACCGCATTATCACAGTGTGTCTGTGGACATTTGTGAGAAGTGATGGGCACTGTGTTCCACCTGCCAGTCAGTGCTGTCACTTTGGACTTGGTCCCTCCTCTAGTATTCCAATTACTCCCTCATCTTTCCCTCTCAGAACTCACAGAGCAAAACATACATCCCTTTAAGACAAAATTTATAACTGCATTATTCCAAAATAAGGAGATGGAAGTAAATAAAGAAAAAATGATTCAAAGCTTTGAATAATATTTCCAAATATGTTGAATTCTTGCTGTCAGGGAGACCATACTGACTAAAAGAACATTCCATTGTTCAGTCATTCTTTCATTCTAGCATTCATTCACTTATCTGTTCAGTAAACATGGAATGCCCAGCTGTGTGTCTAGAATTATTCTACTTTGGAAAATACATGTAAAAGACAGAAAAGACCTCTGATCTCCAAACACTTATTATATATTTGGAAGAAGAAAGATAATACATTAGTAAACAATAAAATTTAAGGATATAGTAAGGGCTGTTATGAAACATCACATACAAGAGGATAAAAGTTTTGTCATGGTGCAAGCATGTTTTTTGTATTATCAGTTTTTGTCAGTGAAGTGACATATGACCCTAGATATCCCATGTCCTTTTCAGAGAGAAGGGTAAATTTAAAAATATCATCCTTGAATGGCTGGCTCATGGAGTTATCTGATCCAATCCACTTTTTATAATGGAATTAGCTGCTGAGTGGAAGTATAAGGTAGGGAGATGAGAGAAAGGAAGCACAAAAATAACTGAATATTTCACAGCCCAGAAAAGGGATCACAGTATTGGACAGTGCGATAATAGAGATAATAAAGAAAAAGAAAAACTGACTGTGGATGTGTATTGAATGTTATGTCAATAGTACTTACTAAAGGATTATTTTTTAAAAGCTTTCCAGGATTGATGCCACTCCCGGGGTGATTGCTTCTGTCTGTTGTTTAGGTGTGGTGCAAAAAAGGAAGCTGACAGGTGGCTGAAAACGAGGCTGGCTGGAGTTTGTTGCTAAACAGAGCCGCAGAGGACGGCCAAGGACTGAGTGGGCTATGGGCAAACCCAGCCCTGTGGTCACATGGCACCACATGGGCCACCAGAGTTGGTGCTTCTAGAGGCTGAGGATGAACAGCAAGTGGCTTTTGCTGGAAGCCAGGAGAAGTAACTATAAGACAAGGATTCAGTGTCATGTGCCAACCGGTATCAAAAATACATCCTCTGATGATTTCTTGAAACTGCTGTTTTGGAGCTGCATCTTAAGAGTCAGTGGACAATATGGACAATATGAATCAGCAGGAGCAGAACCCATCACTCCTGAAAGATTTCCAGCCTCAATAGAAAGAAGTAGGAAGCTGACCATATGAGCCATGTTAAATTCAAGTGTTAGAAATAAAATCTGGGCTCCAAGGACCCCACCAATACCTCTCAAAGAACACAAAGTTACAAAAAAGTAGCTCCTCAAGGCAACTTTTACTTTTGCAAAAGGGCGTTTTTTCTCATTCTGGTAGTAAGCAAGGAGATTGACAGGTTTTTATCCTAGTGCAAGATTACTTTGTCTACTTTGACTTTTCCCAGTTACTTGAGGTCTGATCTCACAGTCTTTCACAGTTGGCTAGTTTCAAAAGAATCACAGCAAAGGAAATGAAGGAAAGTGGGAAGAAGTCTGCTGCTCAGGTCTGGGAATGCAGCAGGGCCTTTGCATAAACAGAAGTCTCACAAGCAATGTCGTGGCACATGTCTTTAATCCCAGCACTTGGAGGCAGGTAGAGTTTTTAAGACATGGTGATATACATGGTGAGTTCAAGGTCATCTGGGGCTACAGGGAGACCCTGTCACAACCCCTCCCCCAACAAAAAGCTAAAACAAAAGATGGGGATATTAAAAGATTTGCATCCCTTACTAACAAAAGTTTTACAAAGTGGGGGAGGTTACAAGACTTACAAAGTTTACATTCCTGTGATCATTCTTTTGATAGAAAAGATTTGAATTCTTTATAATTATTTCCATAAATTCTCCTTCTTTCTTATACCACTAGACTTCAAATTTAGCAAAATTTCTTGGATTTAACTATTGTCTCTAATAAGAGAAAGTTTTCATTATGATAAGTAACAGGGATTGTTACTCAAAGCTATTTCTGTAAGTCTGAATTAAGCCTCTAACAGTGGGGATTATGCAACACCCTAGTAGAATCATGACTTTTTAATTGCTAGAATCAAGGATGCTAAAACTGAGGTTAAAGCCAGGCATGGTAATAAAGGCTTTTGATCCCAGCACTTAGAAGGCAGAGGTAGGTAATCTCCATGAGATTGTGGTCTACCTGATCTATATAGGCGATCCAGTCCAGATGTGGCTACAGGGAAACCCTGACTTAAAAAGACAAAAAACAAACAAAAAACTTGATGTCATTCCCTTCCGTTTGCCAATCCATTGTTTCTTTAGTAAAGGATTCCTCTATTCCTGAATTTTTTGCTGCTTTTGTAATGAGGACATGGACCCTGGAGCTCTGGTAATGGTTCTTTCTGGAGCTTTATACTGGTGGAGCCAAATGGGAGCATCAAGTGAGTGTGACAATCTGTTTACTCGTCCAGTAATCCTATCCAAAAAACCCCAAAAGTACATCAGTGGTCTTATTTGTTTAATTGCCAGATGTAGAGAGGAAAGGAAGTCCCTACTAATGTATAGAAAGAGATATGAGGGAAAAGAAAAGGCAAGAGTTATTACCTTTACAAGTAATAGGTCCAGGAACCAGAAAAAGCCAGAACAGAGGATTTTTTGATATTTCAAAATCAAAGTCCATTAGAATTTCTATTTGTTTGTTTATTTATTATTATTTATTTATATATTTATTTATTTTTGTGACAGGGTCTCTCTGTAGCCCCAGCTCTCCTGGAGCTTACCATGTAGACCAGGCTTGCCTCCATCTCACAGAGATCTGCCTGCCTCTGCTCTGAGTGCTGGCATTAAGGATCTACACCACCATACTTTCTCCATTAGAATTTCTTAATGCGCTCGCAAGAGCATCCATTCATTGGGCTCCTCGTTTTTTCATTTTTTAACCCTTCTAACATTTTATTACTGGTTTTCTTAATTTGGCAAGACATAGTGACATTAACAAATAAATTTAGCAACTGTAAATTTGTGAGAATTTTCTCCTTTTGGAGACTAAGCAGTTTCTACCTGCTCTTCATGAAGTCCCAATGACAAACCAAAGTTCACCCAGAGGAGCAAATGAGTTTATTGGGCTTACTTACAGAGCATGGGTGAGGGGTTACTGGCAGTAGTGTAGGTGACCCAAAATGTAGAATCCCTTGTCCCTGGTCTTTCCCAGTCTATGTACTCTAGCTCCTCCTCAAACCATAAGTCATGTGATTAGGGCAAAATATACACAGCTGGCTGGGTGGGTGGCAGATACTAAGGTGA